CAGCGCGGCTTCACTCCGCTGACTGTGAAACGGCTCTCAGCACCGCAACCCCCCTCCACGCTCCGGGCCCCTTACGAGGCTCCTTCTGCGGTTGGAGGGCTGCTCGTGGCGCCCGCCGAGCCTCAGGACCCCAGGCTCTTGCTGCCTGGGGTTTTCCTCGTTGGGTCTCCGCTTCGCCGTAGCGGACGACCCGATTTCAGCGGAGCCTCCTCTCCCGTCGGGAGAAGACCGCCATTGCCGTTCGCGCCGCCCCCCGGAAGCTATTTTGCTTTGTTTAAGCATTTATTAGCTACATTCTCGGTCCCCAGTGAAGAATCCAAAAGCGGCACTCCGGTTAAAACAAAGAAACAATTGCAAACCGTGAAAGATGCACAAAATGGCAGAAATACAAAATCACCCATAAGCAGCCACAGTCAGAACAGAATAGAAGAGAATAAAGCAAATTCAAAACAAACACAGCAGTTAAACACACATTCAGTTTTCCATTAGGAAACCCATTTGAAAAAAGCCATCTAATAATAACTTGACTTTAGAAAGCCATCAGCATGTGGGCCGATGGAAGCCCCACTAGCAAGAGCATTCTATTATGTGGTTGTCTCGGCAGAAGAAGCCATGCTATGAAACCCCTGCAGTCTTCCCCTCCCAAAAGGGCAGGATGCACTGCAGAACCTTCACTGCAGATGCAAGGAAAGAGGAAAGTGCATATCAGAGATGCTCCCCGAAGTCCGCAGGCCTCAGATAAGTCTGAAAAAGTCAGAACCAGCACTTTAAATTGAGCCTAGAAGCAAAGTCAGAGAGCTTGAGCTAAAATAGGAATTGTATGCTCTTTGAGACTCGTCTCTGTCCGGAGGAAGGCCACAGCTTCTAACCGTAGCTTCCAAGCCACCTTCAAAGGTTAAAGGCAGCCCCTTTGGCCTGTGCTTGCAATGCCTATATGGAAAGAAAGTGATTTATTGGGTAGAACAGAGGGCACAAGTGAGAGAGGTGGCATACAATCCCCCCAACCCAACCCAAAAGAGTTTTTCTTCTCAGGCCCACAGTACAATGAACAGCTAGATCAATAACTGAGTGGCAGGAACTGTACGCTGAATGCCCCTTGATCCGAGATACATATTTTTAGAATATTATCAAGAATTTGTATCAATTTGTATCCTGCTTCTGATCTTTCGAAGCTGGGGGTGGGGAGAGGAAGCAGCTGCCAGTACAATTTGTTTGACTGATTCAAAAAAGCAAGCAAACAAAAAGCTCTTGAGGGGTGTTCTTCACAATGGAGAGATGCCTCACTGACTCATCTTCCATAGGGCATCTTTTTTTTATGCTGTGGATCTGGCATGCACTGTTTTTTTTGCAGAATGTGAGATAGTAGCTTTGGGCTATGTTTTCTAAAAGAACAGATTTTTAAGTGCAAATAACAACAACAACAATAATAATAAAACAATGTCTTTTGCTTCTATCTAGTAAAGAAAGAGTAATCATGACTGCATTACAAGTTGCCAGCAAGAATTTTGAGTGAAGGCGTGGAGTCTCCCCACATTATGTGGAAAACTCATGTGGTTAAGATACTATCTCATTCAGTAGTTTAGTGAAGTTGCAAGACCGAGGTTCTCTCAGGCTGCAGTCCTACACAGTAAGCCTGCAGCTTACGTTACATTCCAGAGATGGTGCCTAAAGCCAAAATGCCTTATAGTTAAAGCACCTGGGATGCAATGGTGAGTAGGATTGCCAAAGTCTTTTTTCCTAGATGTCTGCCCCCTTTCCACCCCCCTTTTATTTTATTTTTTAAAAAATTGCCAAGCATGTAAAGTTAAATGTGCACAACTTAAATGTGCCTAAATGGGCTTATCATATACAGTGGTGCCCCGCAAGACGAATGCCTCGCAAGACGAAAAACTCACTAGACGAAAGAGTTTTCCGTTTTTTGAGTCGTTCCGCAAGACGAATTTCCCTATGGGCTTGCTTCGCAAGACGAAACGTCTTGTGATTTCTTGCGAGTTTGTTTCCTTTTTCTTAAAGCCGCTAAGCCATTAATATAGCCGCTAAGCCGCTAATAGCCGCTAAGCCGCTAATAGCCGTGCTTCGCAAGACGAAAAAACCGCAAGACGAAGAGACTCGCGGAACGGATTAATTTCGTCTTGCGAGGCACCACTGTACTGACTTGCTTGTCTAAGTCATATGTATGACAGAGGGAGATATGCACTTGCGTAGACATATTCGTGTGGCTGCATACATGTGAAATCTGTGCATGAGAGTCTGTGACTGAGTTACATGTGTGTCTAGTCTTATGCCTGAGTTAAGTGGGTGGGTGGGTGGGTTTAGGACAATCAGGAGTTGGTTGGGGACACACTTTGAGCGTTGCCCACAGTATCATCGCATGTAGCTTACCAGAGTGTTGCCCATCTTTCTCTGTGAGGAAGCTTGTGAGCATCTGGATTGTGTGGCACACTTAAACACACATTTTCCTTACGATTATCCTACTCACGTGTAACACGTAAAGAGACCTATTGATAAATATAAACATGGGTGTTTTAGAACAGAGGCAGCCCATCTATGACCCTCCAGAAAGTAGCAGACTTTGAGCTCTGTGGGAGCCATGCAGCCATGGTAGTAGCTTGTAATGCTACTAATGCCTCACTGAACTCAGGGATGTAGCCTATCCTCGCTAGCAGTATAACCATATATGGGTGTTCTTTCCTGGTAGGGTGTATTGACCTTATATGGGGTTGTGTTCCCTCTGGGCAGTAATTACCTTATATGGTGATGGGTGTTGTAAAGCCATGATTGGGCGATGTAACGTGAGACATTGGCAGACGGCCATGCAGGCGGGGAGACAAAGGATAATAAAAAATACCGGACAGGAGAGAAGTTCGAATGAGCTGCCCTCCACCCTGAAAATACTGCTGTCTCTCTGTGTGTTTTTCTATGCTGTGCACCATTTGATGACGGCTGGTTTCCGTCGAGCTCTCAAGTATCAGTGGCACCCTGTGTGACACAAAAAATTAGTGCCTCCTCACCTCTTGGGCTCCATTTTACAGCATTGTTTTGGTGCCTCCTGAAGCATGGTGCCCAGTGCTACCCTAAAACTGCCTCTGCTCCCGATGTCGCTGAACAGCTACCACCAGCACCTGCTCCTTTTATAGGGCCTTGGACCCTGCCTTAATCTCCTTGCTGGCCCAGTTTGAGATGGTCAGGTGACTGCTTGCTCTGAATTAAGGCCTCACCATCCCTTTCACCTGGTGATGTCTAGGAGTTAAACCAGGAGCAGAAGTTTCATGTGAGGAAAAACAATAATAATTCCCCATCTGCTGTCTGAACTGGGGGTTATGTGCCTTAGTTTTAAGTCAAGGCTAGAGTGCCATGATCGTCTAACTTTAAGAGGATAATACTCTTAAAGTATTAAGATAATACACATAAAGATAATGAGGAAGGGTTGTAGCTCAGTGGGAAAGGAAGCTCCCTCCCTCCCGGTTTGTTGGTGAGTGTCGCTGTCGTGCTGCCAGCAGAGGCTCTTGGAAGTGACTTGTGGAGAAGATGGCACTGGCTGAGGTGAGCTCCCAGGAACATGGAGGGGGCAATGGCTGCTGCCGCTGCTGCTGAGTGGACTAGGCCCACTGTCCCGCTTCACCTGCCCGGTGTGCCTGGAGGTGTTCAAGAGCCCTGTGAAGGTGCCCTGTGACCAGGCATTCAAGGAGTGTCTTAAGCCAAAAGAGCCAGTTTGTGGAGTTTGCCACAGTACCCTGTCTCATGGCAGCAGAGCTTTCGAAGTGGAAAAGCAAATTGAAATGACAGTGGTAGAGAATCTGCTTTTCATGCTGAAGCTTCCAGGTGCATTCCGCGACACCTTCAGGCAGAACTGGGAAAGATGTTGTGGTGATCACACAGGGTCCCTGGACGTTTGACAGTCTATTGATCTCTGTGCCACCACTGTGATTGCTTCCCCGCTGCCACCAACCCGGTTCTCTCAGGTACACACAGAGTCCAGACAGTTGTTAACATTAAATCAAATAAGCAAGTTTATTTTATAAGCCTTAACAAGTTTATGGTTTCAGATAATTTTTCTTGTCAGTTTCTTAATCTTAGTTTCTATACCGGCTTATACCTTTCCTAAATAACTGCTAACTGATTATCCCAACTGTCTATCTGACTCCTCCTATCAGTTTCTCTCACTCTCTCACAACACAACTCGACCAACCCACAGACTTATCCTCCCTCTTCCTTCTCCAACTCCCAACTGACTTCCCAACAACTCCAACTCTAACTCTAACTCCTCCCCTTGGGTTCCCACTGGCCAATCACTTCACACTCATTTAACCCTTTCCTTATGACCCACCTAGGACGGCAAATGCCACAGATGTGCTGCCTGAAACTCTTGAGAGCTTCTGCCAATCTGTGCAGACAATGCTAATCTAGATGGTCCATTGATCTGGCTCAGTACAAGGCAGCTTCCTATGTGCCCATGTTCTGGAGAATTTAGCAAAGTGAGGCAGTTCTCAGTAAGAGGAACACCTGGGCTCCGGCAGCCCCATGTCTGCAACAAGGCCTTTTGATTCTGCTCCTTCCTGCCCTAGGGCTGTTTTCTGCAGTGGGCCTTCTCCTCAACAACCACTTTCCTGTGATAAAAGGGATAAGGTTAATTCAGGGATGAAGTTAATTTCATTAAGCCTGAATTCTAGAGCAAGATTTCCCCAGGTGAAGAATGCTTTTAGTTCTCAAGTGGATTGTAGTGAACAGGCCTTGACCTTAACATTTTCACATAATTCCACTCCTTGTCCTCCTCTCAGGAAACCATGACCTCTCATGATACTCGTCAGATTCCAAGCAGCTGAAACACCTCATAGCTGGCCCATGGCAGTACCTCAGATGCAAAGGACAGACTATTCACAATGGCCCATTCTAAATAAAATAAAAATTCTTAGTACCATTGGATTAGTCTCCAGAAACCTTGATACTTCCGGACACAATCTGTTGTGCCCTGGAGAGAACTTCCTCATTAATTCTTGCCACAATGTGTCGGTAACACAACAGGGTAGTGTTCTGGATGTTATGCTGAGAGAGGAAAGGCAGAAGTTATCTTTAAACATCTGCTAGATTTACTAAGAAAATTGCTTGAATTCTGTAGCATGGAGACATTAGAGGTTTAATTGATAAAAGTGAACTAATACTGGGAAAACAAGTCTTGTTCGCAAGACTCTAGAACCTGAAAAAGAAGAAGACAATGCACGTACTTTTGTAACCTAAGAAAATCTTTAATAACAATTATCTTTTTACAAAAATCTCTACCCTATATTTTTATTTTAAAAAATATTATTATTATTTTGAGCCACCCCTCCCCCAAATGTATATGCAGTGTTGCATCACAAGACATCACCCCCCAAGAGGAATTCTTATGGAGTGGGGAGATGACATCTGTCAAAACAGCTCCCCTGCTACTAGGACTCCAGGGAGCAGCAAAAATTCTGTTTATAGTTAAGACTCAAAGGGATAAACACCAACAGCAGGAAGTGCTACCTATCAACACACACACACCCATTTACAAAACCCACCCCAAAACTCACCATTGTGGAGGAAGATTTTGCCTTAATCCTAACTAACATCCTTAGCTGATTTAAGCAGAGAAAGATTCTATCTAAACTACTCCAGGGGTGACAAGACTGAGGTTTCTGGCATATGCTTCTCATTTTACTTGAACCATAAGGTCTACCAGCTAGGACTAGGTACAGAGTAGCAGGACCACGTACACTTAGAATTAAGAACAAAGGGGTCTCTGAGCACATACTCAGGCCAGTGAATTGTTTTCATGAAGGGAACTAGGATGATTTCCTATCCATTCTTAAGGAAACCAGCCCTGAGTGCTCACTGGAAGGACAGATCGTGAAGCTGAGGCTCCAATACTTTGGCCACCTCATGAGAAGATACGACTCCCTAGAAAAGACCCTGATGCTGGGAAAGATTGAGGGCACAAGGAGAAGGGGATGACAGAGGACAAGATGGTTGGACAGTGTTCTCAAAGCTACCAACATGAGTTTGAGCAAACTGCAGGAGGCAGTGGAAGACAGGAGTGCTTGGCATGCTCTGGTCCATGGGGTCATGAAGACTCGGACATGACTAAACGACTAAGCAACAAGATCATAGTCCTACCATTCAAAAAATAAACTGGTGATGAAGTATAAATTTCCATTTTGGACATAACGACTAACTGTGGTTTCATTAAACCAGTATGTAAGGAAGGAGGAAGGGGGAGACAAGGAGCGGGGAGGGAGTGTGCCTAACTATGGTTTGGCAGGCTGCGGATCAAAACTGAGCCTGAGTATTTTATAGACTGTTAGGCAATAATTTGTCCGGTAGGCTATGTTTGCCTTTGTAGACCATAAGGTGTGAAAGTCTCGTTTATCGCATGATAATCTTATGCAGAAGTTATTCTCTGCAACTATGTAAAATTTGGATGGGCATAAGAAAAAGATCAATCTTATCAAAAAAATCAGATAGATTAGGAATATTTTCAATCCATATCTTCAGTACTCCTCGGCATTATTTGCCATCACATCAGTAAATTTAAGGGATAGAAATGGACTTTGGAATCTAAGTTTATGAAATGCTTTATTTTGTGGACACACAAAAGCTCCATTTTGTCCTATTCCACTCCGAAAGTAATAAACTGTGCAGGAGGTTTAAAAGGAATCAAGAAAATCATGCACAGAATTCTACTGGGGGAAAAACATTTTCTGAGAATTACGTGCATGAATTTCTTGGATTATTTTAAACCAGACTAAGGGTTGGTTCACACATGATGCGACCTGTGGCAGCAAGGGTGGCATGCATGTATGAATGAGCCAACAGAATCAACTATCACAAACAGAAATTCTTCTCTCACATCAGCTCAAAGATGAGCTTCTTACTAGAGTCTTCTAACAGCACACCTACACAATCTGTGTTCAACCAAGCCAAATTCAGCTCATCCAACCACGTATAGCTTCCCAGAAGAGGCTGAATAAACACCTAGTTTTTGCCCTTCACTTGAGATTGCAAAAACAAGTACCACACAAACCATAATACTCTGCCAGTGTTCTGTGCTGGGCTTAGTAAAGCTAGAAATCTCCAACTGTTGAGTCATCTAGTGGTGAGAAATTAGAGCCTGCCACACATGCTAAATGTGACCCATAGTTCTTCCTGAATGCTTTACATTTCTGATATTATGCCTGAAAAGGCTTTGTTGAAAGGGTTGTCCTCTGTACATTTCTCAATAAAGTCCCTCAGCACTTTTCTTGGGGGGGGGGCACTCAATGTGGTGAGATGCAACCAGTCCAATTGTAAAAGCAATACTCTAGAAAGAAGCATGGAATGTTCAATTGCTCTGTTCTTCCTCGATATGCTGAAGACATACTACTATATGTGTGTGTGCATAGTTCCAAGAAATTATTTTCTCAAAAATATGAGGGGAAAGTGGTTCTCTCTCCAAGTCCTATCCATGGTACGCTCAGAGAGTATATCGTCATTGTAGCAGAGATAGGAAGCTTGTTTAGTATCTAGCTCTGCAATGGAAATCTACTGTGATTGAGGAGGAGGAACATTTAATTGAGAAGAGCATTGCAATGCCTGTTCTTACCCACTGATATACAGTGGTACTTTGGGTTACGTATGCTTCAGGTTACGTATGCTTCAGGTTACAGACTCCTCTAACCCAGAAATAGTACCTCGGGTTAAGAACTTTGCTTCAGGATGAGAACAGAAATCGTGCTCCAGTGGCGCGGCAGCAGCGAGAGGCCCCATTAGCTAAAGTGGTGCTTCAGGTTAAGAACAGTTTCAGGTTAAGAACGGACCTCCGGAACGAATTAAGTACTTAACCCAAGGTACCACTGTACTGCTTAAGGGGAGTGGGAATCTCATAAGATTTAAATTCCTTCCTGCTACATGAATACACAGAGTGTTGAAATAAGAATAGCGAAAGCACAGCTAAGAAGATCAAATCATATATATGACTGACACCCTTCTTTGGAAATTAAGCCAATGTCCAGACTTGAACATCCAAAAACTTTACTTGCAGAAACTTACAGATGAATTAAAACATAATGTTTACAGTCACGTGTTTCTCGAAGCATGGGCTTACAGTCTCTTCTTCTAACTTGCAAACAACTGTATTGTCCTCCTCTGAGAGCCCAGCACTCAGCCTACTGTATCTCATCCCGTGCAACTCTTATGAGAGATTTCCACTTTTACCTTCTCCTGTAGCTTTAATCTCTTTCTTTAAGCAGAAAAAATGCACTCCAACACTCTATTCAACTTAGCAGTGTTCACAGTGGATTTCAAAGCACAGCCATCCTGCATCACATAGAATGGAATCTCTCCTTCATGAGGTACCTCCCATGTGACCAACATTAGTCAATCACATGAGGATGACTAGAGAACTCTCTAGAATACACTTACCAACCAGTCAAATTTAAACACATAGTAATGCATACAAGCATTTACAATTTCAGTGAATTAAATTACTATACTTAACACACAGTAGGTCCTTGTAGCAACACTCTGAGCTGTTTTATGACCTTTTCATTACATCAGCGTGGAATTCAAGAAGCCCCAAATGCAGAGATTTATAAGTTTGTAATATATGAAAATTATTAGCATTGCTGCTCATAATCAAATACCTATTTAATTAAATATATATATCTACAAAAGTATCCTGGTGCCAAACCTGACAACTTTCTTACCTCTCTGTCAGATGGTCTGCTCTGTCAGATGGTTGGAGGAGCTTGCCCAGGCATTCTTCCACCAGCAACAGATTGTCCAAAGCACAAATTATTGCCCTGTAACATTGAATGAGGAACAGCTGCAAAAAGAGGAATGGTAAAAAAGTTTAAAAAAAATCAAATCAATTTATTGGAAGAGAAGACACACACATGTAGAGTGAATGATCTCATGAGATTTTTCCCTGAGGCAAGTTGGATGGCATTATTGATAACAGGTTCTTGCCAAGAGACAAACTATATTTTGCCACTGAGGAGGCAACTAGGGATGTTCTGTTCAGAAAATCTTGATGTCAAGCTTATTCACATGGATTTTTTCTCTAATTTCTCTCTCACTCCTTGATCCTGAAAAGGTAGTTATTTTTCTTCAGCCAGTTCTACTAAAAATATGAACAACTCTTGCATATTATCGGCATTTGTGTACACATTCTTATACAGTGGTACCTTGGTTTAAGAACAGCTTAGTTTATGAACAACTTGAATTAAGAATGCTGCAAACCCGGAAGTAGGTGTTTTGGTTTGTGAAATTTGTCTTGGAATAAGAACATCTTTCGCTTCCTGTTGAGTGTGGTCCATTTGTAAATTGAGTCCCCACTGCTACGGGAAAGCACGCCTTGGTTTAAGAATGCTTTGGTTTAAGAACAGACTTCCAGAACAGATTAAGTTCATAAACCAAGGTACCACTGTATGTATATTACAGGACTATTTTATATACAGATTTCCTAAAGTAACCAGCAGTTAAACAGATAGTGCAGCAATGCATGTCACTTCCTTATTGAGAATGCCTGCCGGAAGGAGAAAACGAGGTGCAAAGAGCCAGAAGATCATTATTGGGACTCACAATTCCTCTAAAACAAAGAATCAGCAGAGAGCCAACGCCATCTTCCCTGGCTCAGAAACAGAGCGGGTTGAGGAAGCCAAGAAAACGGAGCAAATAGAACAAACAGTGAGTAACAACGTTGGGGGAACCTCACCCCCCCCTTAAGGAGGATGACAATCACCCGACCCCCCCTTCTCCCAGAAAAAGCTAATCCATCCAAAAGGGCAAGAGTAGGAGCAGGAGGGATTCCTCCTACTCCTAACGCTGACCCACCCATGCCTCTAGAACAAGATATCAGAGGAGCCTGCTTTCAACTGATTCCGGATACGCACCCCTACCAAGAGATTTGCATGTTGTCTGCAGAAACTATGGTTCTGGTTCTCCAAAGACTGAATGAAATCCTCACCAAAATAGTTAACATTGAGAAACAATTGGATACTAGCTCCTCCCCTTTAAATGCCCAAGGGCTTAAAAGGATGATAAGAAATGACTTTGTTAACAACTCACCAACTCAATCTATGGGTGAAGTGAGGTCCTGTCAAGTCTTGCAAACGAACCAGATAATGCTTGAGATTCACCGATACACTCATAGGTGGATGAACCGCAGACAAATTACTATGTCCTTGTCTCAGCTCCTGAAATACCATTACCGAAATGTAGATCTAGAAAATTTCCACTTCCTGCCTACCGTGAGAAACACAACGCGCCTATTTATGACCTTTAGGTCATCAGCCCTCCCATCTCAAATCATGGAGATAAAGGATACTCTATGGTGGTTCCATTCTCTCCGCCCAGTGAGGGCATTTAAGGATGAAACAAGGAGGCAATTGGTCCCTTGCATAGAATCAAAGCTGATGTGGATAAGGGAAACCAAGCTCAACACTAGAAACACTAATTGCCCGAAGGAAAAAAAAGAGAACTCTGTAAGCCTAGTTAAGAAGAGGCTAATGAGTATAAAGACTGAGATTTCTACCCAAAATATAAGGACAGTAGAGCCTAGAGCACAATATTTAAAGACGTCCAACAGCTCTTTATCCCGTAGAAAGACATCAGTGCAACTCCCTGTTCCCTTTTCAAACGACACCGAATTAGATGAGGAATTTGGCACCTCCGACATTTCTATGGCAACAACACCTAAAGAACTCTATGTTGCTGACAATCTGGAGATATCCAGCACCAAATCTACATCTGGACCTTTGCCTAATGTTCCAAAAACTTATCAGAATGATCAATCTTCTCTACTGTACTCCTGGTGAGACAGGATGGACAGATCTTCCGAAGCTGGCTCTTTGTTGGCCAGTGATCCACATTTTATAGCGCACACCTCATTAATACTCCCACAGCCACAGATAGAACCAACAATCCTCCAATCAACCCAGGAGGGAGAGGGGGATCGACAGTTAACAAAACACCATGGGACTGTCCTCCCCGCTTGGGGTGCGGTTGGTTGGGTTTTATCTTCTAGGGATACTTACCCTATCAAACCTCCACCTCTTCCCCATACCATTTTGACCCAGGAGTCCTGGCCCATGGATGACTTGTTATTAAGGGGATGTTATCCCTCTATTGGGGAGGCTAGTATGGGGTCTGGGATTTCCACTATTGAAGGGCTAGGGAGGAATGGCGGTGGGGCTAGATATCTCTATCGGCGAAGGGTTTCGAGATGCAGTGATCCTCGAGCCCCTTCCAATCTACGCCCCATCCCAAGGGATGAGGGTAGGGAGAGCAAGGATTACCCACCTCCATCATTGGTGCTGTGCAATGCCAGGTCCATAGGCAACAAAACCGCCACCATGCGTGACTTTTTTGTCTCGCAGGGGATTGACCTGGCTTGCGTGACGGAGACCTGGGTACGGGAAGGCGAAGTAGTCTCCCTACATGAGATAACACCCCCAGGTTTCTCTGTCCTCCATCAATCGCGGACTGTGGGTCGGGGGGGAGGAGTAGCATTGTTAATCCGGGAGGCTCGCTCTTTCAGAGCTCTGCCATCACCGGCGATCTCCGGCATTGAATGTGTTGGTCTCGTGTGGGGCACCAAGGAGAGCTTGGCTGTCTGGCTGGTGTACCGACCACCCAGCACACCGGCAGCCACCCTGTGAGACCTGCTGGAGGTGGTGGTGGGCTGGGCCTTGGAGTTCCCAAACCTACTTCAACGTCCATGCCGATGCCGCTCCCCCCTCACAGGCTCTGGACCTAGTGACTTCCATGGCAACACTAGGGCTCTCCCAGTTTGTTTTGGGCCCCACTCATCAAGCAGGCCACACGCTGGATCTGATCTTTGGGGCTGGCATAGATGTGATCATGCTCCCCCCTGTGGAAGTGCCATGGTCTGATCACTACACTCTGAAAGCCAAGATTGACCTCCCGCTCCTCCCCTGCTCGGTTGGCGAACCTATTTGGGCTCGTCTGCGAAAACAGATGGATCCTGATAGATTCCGACAAGCCTTGTGGGACCCTGCTCCTCCTGACTCATTAGATGACCTTGTTGAAGACTGGAATAACCGGCTCTTGGCAGCCATTGATGAGATCGCGCCTAAGCACCCTCTGCCACCCCGTTGAAACTGGGCCCCTTGGTTTACTGAGGAGCTCCGGAAAATGAAGCGGGATCTCAGACGGCTAGAGCGAGTATGGCGACAGACTCATGACGGAGCCTCAAGAAAATCTTATAGGACGCTTATGAAAGCCTATGAGATGGCTATGAAAGCTGCTAAGAAATCTTACTTTGCAGCTTCCATTGCATCCGCTAGCTCTCGCGCGGCACAACTTTTTAGAGTAATTAGGTCAATAACGTCCTTAGGAGGGCAACCAAATTTAAGCACAAATTCGACCCACAGCTGTGAGGCATTCGCGAGCTTTTTTGCGGAGAAAGTCCTGTTGCTCCACCGTGACCTCCCTGCCAATTTAGATACAGTGACTGAACTGGAGGCCCCTTGACTGACTTCAGGTCCAGTGTTGGACCATTTTGATCGGATACTCCCTGCTGATGTGGATAGATTCCTCCAAGTTGGTAGGCCCACCACCTGCCTCCTTGATCCGTGCCCATCTTGGCTGATTAGGGAGTGTCCAGATGTTGCGCAGACCCCCCCTGGTTGAAATTATCAATTTGTCCCTTGACACGGGGACATTCCCAGGGGAACTGAAGGAAGCAATAGTGTGTCCACTCTTAAAGAAAACTTCATTAGATCCCTTAGACCTATCCAGTTACCGCCCAGTTTCAAATCTTCCATATCTGGGTAAGGTAATTGAGAGAGCGGTTGCTGAACAGCTTGGTAGGTTTCTGGAGGAAACATCGGCTTTAGATCCGTTTCCGTCCTGGTTTTGGGACCGAGATGGCTCTGGTTGCCCTAACAGATGATCTCTGTAGACAACTGGATCGAGGCGGGTCAGGACTGCTGATCCTTTTAGATTTGTCAGCAGCCTTTGACATGGTCAATCATGATCTTCTGGACCACCGCCTCGCAGACGTGGGGATACAGGGCATAGCCCATAACTGGCTGTGCTCTTTTATCTCTGGTCGGGGACAGAGGGTGGCACTAGGGAGGGAAATGTTGTCGCACCATTCCTTGGTGTGTGGAGTGCCGCAGGGCGCAATTCTCTCCCCGATGCTTTTTAACATCTTTATGCGCCCCCTTGCCCAGATTATCCAGAGCTTTGGGCTGGGCTGTCACCAATATGCTGAAGACACTCAGCTCTATCTGCTGATGGATGGCCACAACGACTCGGCCCCGAACACACTGACGAGATGCTTGGAAGGTGTGGCTGGATGGTTTCGTGGGAGCCGATTGAAACTAAATCCTTCGAAGACAGAGGTCCTATGGCTGGGTCGGGATGGCATGGGGATGAGGGACCAACTCCCTTCTCTTGCGGGGGCCCAATTAGTGCCATTGCCTTCTGTTAAGAGTTTGGGTGTAATCCTTGACGCCTCCCTTTCCATGGAGGCGCAAGTTACAGCAACAGCCAAGGCGACATTTTTCCACCTTCGCCGCATCAAGCAGTTGGTCCCTTACCTTTCCCGCCCTGACCTGGCCACAGTGATCCATGCGACGGTCATCTCCAGGCTTGACTACTGTAATTCACTCTACGCAGGGCTGCCCTTGAAGCTGACCCAGAAACTCCAGAGGGTGCAGAATGCTGCAGCGAGGCTCCTCACGGGGTGTCTGCCATGGTAGCATATTCACCCAGTGCTTTTCAAACTGCACTGGCTCCTGGTAGAGTACAAGGTCAGATTTAAGGTGCTGCTTTTGACCTTTAAAGCCCTTCACGGCCTTGGACCCTCGTACCTTAGGGACCGCCTCTCCCGGTATGCCCCACGGAGAGCCTCAAGGTCCATAAATAGCAACACCCTAGTGGTCCCGGGCCCTAAGGAAGTTAGATTGGCTTCAACCAGAGCCAAGCCCTTTTCAACTCTGGCTCTGGCCTGGTGGAACGCTCTGCCTCATGTGACCAGGGCCCCGCAGGATCTGATTTCTTTCCACAGGGCCTGTAAGACAGAGTTGTTCCGCCTGGCCTTTGGCTTGAAGCCAATTTGTTTTGTTTTTATTATTATTATTATTATTTTTTAAATATTTTTTTATTAAGGTTTTACACAAAGAAAAAAGAAAAACAACACACACAAAGAAAAACAATACAAAATTTAACAACAAAAACACAAAACATAACAGTTAAAAACAAACTCTCTTTTCCATTCCCAATTTTAAATTACTTATTTTCTGGACTTCCTCATACCTCCCTCTTTTGTATTCCAATTTGCATTATTTGTCCAGCAGTTTCTTTTCCACTTTTTAAACCCAATCTTTAATTTAATAGAATATTAAAATATATAACTTCAACTTTTTTAAACATAATCCTTGTTCTTAATGTCATATACCTTTAAATTTTTCCTTTTATTATTAAATTTCCATTTCTTTAAACATCTTTAATCTTGATCTTTAATCTTAATCTATCCTTATCTTTAACCTGTACAGCTGGAAACCACTTATTTTCAGTCCAACATCACTCTAACATTCCTTAATTTTGCAGTGTTTCTGAAGATAGTCTTTGAATTTCTTCCAGTCTTCCTCCATCGACTCTTCTCCCTGGTCACGGATTCTGCCAGTCATTTCCGCCAATTCCATATAGTCCATAAGTTTCATCTGCCATTCCTCCAGCGTGGGAAGTTCTTGTGTCTTCCAATACTTTGCGATGAGTATTCTTGCTGCTGTTGTTGCATACATGGCTTGAAGCCAATTTGATTCCCTCCTTCTCTTTCTTTTTTCCTTCTCCTCCTGCGATGAGGCTACATTTTAATATTTTAATATTTCAATATTTTAATGTTGTATTTTAATTTTGTTTTTAAGTTTTAATCATTCAACTTGTTTTTATTATTGCTTGTAAGCCGCTCTGAGCCCGGCCTTGGCTGGGGAGGGCGGGGTATATATATAAAAAATTATTATTATTATTATTATTATTATTATTATTATTATTATTATTATAAAACTCTGAAGAAAATAAGAGAGGTGAAATCACACAGGTGTTCTGGGAGGGAATTTCTTATTTGATATTTATTCCAAGTTATCATAAAATTCCCAACATATGAGGATAGTAGATTTGCAGACTCATGAAACTATGCTGGCAGAAGACGACTGTGTAGATGTATTCATTTGTAGCTTTGGAAAACAACCTATTTAGTCCAACCATTAGTGTCAGAATAGAATCATGCTGCATTTGTGCTTGTCCACTCTTGTGAAGTGAAAAAGCAAAATACATCCCACTGCCACTCTTGACTAAAGAGCCTTTACAAAAAGAAAAAAAGAAATACAGAAAACTGTTGCCCAAAGTTGCATGTTCTGTCTAAAGAATTGTGACGTTAACATATATGAGAGAGTGCTGGAGGGGAAATAGTTAAATAGGTTGCACAGACAGGACCCAGGGGGGTGGAGTCTGTGGGTTTATAAAACCAGTTCTGGGAGGAGTTGGTTGGGAGGTATTGGTGGGCAGTTGGTTGGTTTTCATGGGTTGGCTGGTTGGGAAAGGCAGTTGGTAATAGAGAGACAGTTAGGGCCGTGGGTTCTTGAGTGTGGCGAGGTAGAAGAGACAGAGAGATGAAAATAAGACTAAGAAAGTAAAGAGCAACAACGTTTGGAATGCTGTAAAAGTTTTGTTTGTGTCTGAAATAAAATACACTCTTCTTTATTAATTGAAAAGCTGACTGAGACTGAAGTGATTTTACCAGGGAGGACCTGGTTGGTGGCAGTGGATTAGTGGTGTATGGGTCAATAGTCCGTGAGACAACCAGGGGCTCCATACGAACACCACAAGAATGTCAGAGTATTCTGACCAAAAAAAAAGCAACCCCAGAAAAGGGAGCAGAAGTTGCCATTGTTTGCTTATTTGTCCCATGCCCAGAATGGAAATCAATCCAATAAATATGATTGGTATTCACTGTTGTTGCTTTCAGTCCACAGATTATACATACAGCAATTCACTACAGTCATCTCTAATTGTATTATGTTTCCTTTGCAATTACATGAACAGGGTGGAATAAGGCAAGGACAGTGTCAATTACAGAATTAATTACCTAAGTTTTGCCACAAAGGACAAGGAAACGAAAAACATGTTTTTTGAAGGAAGACAAACTGCAGTGGGATGGAAACTGCACTGCATATGATGACTGCAAAGCAGTATGGGAAATGGTGGCTTCTGATATCCTGGTTCTATCATGCTTTATGGAAAGCCTGGCCTAGTGTTGTATTGTGAGTAGCCAGAGAGGAAATTCTAAGATGGCGTCAGCCTGACATCATAACTGCCTAAAGATTCAGCTGCTTTTATGGTAGCCATCTGAGAGGCTGCACTCATTGCATTAAAAATGGTGCTTCCTTCTTTCAACTGGGAGTTGAGAGTAGGAGCTCATCCAGACTTCCACGTGTCCTACCTCTCTCCTCCAGGAAAACCCAATCTTTATTGTAGAATTGGAGCGAATGTCAATTGGCTTTTCTGCAGGCGGACATTTGCTCCGATTCAGTGCTACAGAGTTTTTTTTCTTGGGGAAAGTAGTAGGACAAAGAGAAGACTGCTTTTTAGGCAAAGGTCAAGAAGAAATGTAGATGAGCCCTTGGTTACATTGTCTGGCTATATAGGAATTGGCAGGAAAAAAAGAGTTATATGATTCCTAGCGGTGTCTGTCAAGAGGATTTCTGAAGGAGAATCTCTGTATTATGTACTGCTTCAATGCTTTTAACCTAGTAGTGTCAAACTAATAAATAAAGTTCTTGTTTCTCTTACTGGGCTTAACCTCTGCCAAGGAAGTCATGGAGTATCTCCAGAGAAAGAGCAGCATTCACTCATGTGAGCTCCCCTCTGTAATCTGACTTGGCACAGGTCTACCACCTCAGTGAGAACTAAGGCTTTGAAAACCTGCACAGTTTTCTCTCATTCCACCCAATGCGTTGAACTTGCCTGCCAACTTCATCAGGCGGCTTCCACTGACCTTCGGCAGGGGATGTTTCCTCAAAGCCTTTTCCTCTTCTCTGAATTCTTGAAAGAGGAAACCTTGTCAGAGAGGTAGAGCAGGGGTTTCGCTCCAAACCGTTGAAGCTGTTGGAAAAGAAATCAAGCATTTCATCGCATAACAGGGATGGAGAACCGTTTTTCCATCCCTCTAGTCTAGTCCAGTGACTGCATTCAGTGGTGGACAACCTTCTGGGATAGGGCAACAAAGGTCACATTTACCTTTGTACAGGGGGTTACAGTCTGGATGTACAAATGGATTTCCAAGATGGTTACTTGCTAAAATAACCAGTATAAGGTTTGAAACAAAATATTTAGAAGTAAAGGTTTGTATCCAGTATAGTGCTAAGTAAGTGCTCTGTCAATGAAAGGATTCCCATCTGGGCAGCAGGATTCTCTTTCCCCTTTTGCATCTGGTACGTGCCCCATGCCCTCCCCATGCGCCAGAGTGTTGGAGGAAAACGTAGAACAGATTTAGGGGGTTCACAAGGAGAGGAGATGGAGTTAACTCCTGTTGAACAAGAAGAAATCCTTGTGCTGATGGGATGCTTAATAAATGCTGCACAGGATACAAATCACTGTGAGACTGGTGACTTCTTAAAAAAGGGCCTTTTCATTGGCCGTGCTGTGCTCACAAAATGGCTTCCCCAGAGAAGCTCACCTAGCACTCACAATATAATTTTTAGGGGCCTGCGTTAAACCTCCGTTTCTCAAGTTTTTAATCAGAATCTGTCCGTCACTTTAGGGGTTTTTGTTTACACCAGTTTCCTCTTTGCTGGGTTTCATGATGATTTTAAAGTGGTTTCAGATGATGTGTTTTATGTTTTATGTGTGGGGTTTTTTGGGGGGGGGGGGGTTGTTGTCTTTGTTTATTTTATCTTTCTTCAAACTTCCCCACCCCCTTTCCCCTTTGTATTTTACTCATAGCTGTCAACATTTTCCCCTTTTAAAGGGAAATTCCCTTATTCTGAATAGGATTCCTCGCAAGAAAAGGCAAAAGTTGACAGCTATGATTTCACTGTCCAGAGGACATGGTTGGATGACTTGGATTATGCATGTAATGAATGATATTAACAAGGGAAGAGAGAGCTGAATAAAATAATAGTTTGCCACATCCTGGAATTTAGAGAGACACTCGCAAACCATTACATTAATGATTTTAAGAGAAGGCTCCTGAAGCATACCAAGACTCGCCGGATGATAGGGCGGACTTTCTTTTCTGCTGGTCAAGACCTCACATTACTCCCCTGTACCATCAAACTTCCCCATCCCTGCTAAGCCACTCTAACTCTAATCCCACTTCTGCACCAAATACTTTGATGTCATAATAATATTCATCTAAGTTTCACCCAAGGTATTGTGGTGCTTCAAAAATCCAGCGTTGCCCAGTATATGAGAGAAAATCACATATGGGATTAAATGTTTGAAAATAATTGTGCCTCGCAGAAATCCTGCTGATACCTGCTAACTGTCTTTAGGACCAGTGCAGATTTGTTGATACTCATGGCGTGCAGAGTAATTTCAGAACGGGCTAGGAGGCAGATATCATCTGATCCTAGATTCTACAGGTGGGAAAAACAGATATGTGGCTCCGGTAAGAGATAAGGAAAGAGGGGAGTTATTCCTAAAGCAAGCAAGAGAAGAAAATAGATACTGTTGCAGAAAAAAAACCCCCATAGTGACTTACTACATCTTGTTCAACAGAATCATATGTCCTTATACTGCCCTTCATTTGAATAGGTATTCCATCCATAGAAGGGGAGTCTCCAATTTGATTCTAATAATTTTTCCCAGATACTTTCTAACATTACTTCCAGGCAATGTGCTCAACCCCTGCATTACTGTTTATTTGTTTTTAGAAGGCCTTGCAGAATATGTTTAAGTAACACCAGGAAGCGGGGCCTTTAGGATCTAATACTGCTGCATTTATTAACTTTGTGGTATAGAAGTTGGAAATTAAATTGCTCTTTGGGAGTTATAGCTAGTGTACTCTTAATACGTAAGCTACCTCACATGAATTTTTATTTGGAAAACCAGTACACCCACATAAAAATAATAGTAATAATAATAATACCAGCAGAATTATGCATTGGACATTATTCCCGTGTAGGCTTCTTCTTTGTGGAACAGGAATTCAATAATATGAAACACCCACCATTCCTATGCTGGATCATCCTCCTAGCCCCCTCACTTGTAAAGCTTAGATCCTCACCATACTCATTCAGATCTTATTTGTTTCCTTATCTGTGATGGGATGATGAGCTGCTTGTGCGTAAAATAGTATCCCCTCAGAGTTTGTCCAAGTCCACAAACCTCTGTCTGTGACGGAGCCCCTCAGACATGGCTCCTCTAGTCACTAGCAGATTCCGACAGTGGTTGCTTTGGAATCGCTTCCAACATAAAAGCTCCTTAACGGAAACACGTCTTCTGGACTCTCTGCGTGACAGTTTCCGGCGAGGAGTGGGTGTTCCTACAGGAGGTCCTGAAACCTCCCCACTGTTTTCGCTGGAAGTGTCTCTGAGCCATCCCTCCAGCTCACTTTCCCTCAGCTCAGCTCCTCTCCCCTACTGGTTCCCTCTTCAGCTGCTGAGTCTCTCCCAACCTGTGTGAGCCCTTTCACCTCCCTTCCTTCCGATGGCAGTTCCCTGACATCCACCTCCCCTCCAGGGCCCCTTTCACCCCCTCTCGCCCCCTCCTCTACGGGCGGTGAGGAGGCAAAACCCGGAATGAACTTCCTTCATCTTCCGATGTCTCGAACACTTCTCTCCACCTGTTGCGGTTCCTGGTCTCGAAGTACTCCTCCTCCTCAGAGTCCATCTCCCCTCCCCTTCCGAGTCCGGGAATCCTTCCAACTCCTCCTCCTCATCAGTGGTCCCAAAGTATTCCCTCCGGAACCTCTCCACAGGCTGAGGTTTCCTTGGGAACCTTTGATGGAACGTTTCTATCAATACCTCGTCATTGATATCTTCGGCCATTACCCAAGTGTTTTCTGACTCCGGTTCTCCTTCCCACGCTACCAAATACTCCACCTGATCCCCCTTCCACCTGGCGTCGAGGATTTCTGCCACATGGCTGCTGCATTCTCTTTCTTCTATGACCGGTCCCCGAGTGGCCATCCCTTCTCGTCCCCCTTCGTACGGTGACAGTAACGACCTGTGAAATACTGGGTGCAGTTTCATGTGGTTGGGTAACCGGAGCCTGAAAGCCACTGGGTTGACCTGTTGAATGACCTCAAAGGGACCCAACCTCCTGGGTCTTAATTTCTTACAACCTCCTTTGAGCGGCAGCCCTTGGGTTGACAGCCACACCCTATCTCCCACCCTTATGGTTTCACCTTCCCTTCGGTTCTTGTCTGCCTGCCTCTTGTATTCTTCCTTCGCCCTTTCTAAGTTGAGTTGGAGCTGACGATGGATTGCTTCCATTTCTTCCACAAAATGCTCGGCTGCCGGGACGCTCCATCTCTCCCCATCTCCCCCTGGGAAAGCCCTGGGATGACACCCATAATTAGCCAAGAAGGGGCTCATCCCTGTGGACACATTCTCGGCATTGTTGTAGGCAAATTCCGCCAGCGCCAACTTTTCTACCCAGTCATTCTCTCTGTCATTGACATAACACCTCAGGTATTGCTGGAGGACACCGTTTGCTCTTTCCGCCTGCCCGTTGGTTTCAGGGTGCCGGGCAGTCGAAAAATTGACCTCCACCTGCAGTAAGCTCATGAGCTTCCTCCAGAACCTGGAAGTAAATTGTTTTCCTCGGTCTGAGACCACCCTCAATGGCACTCCGTGCAACCTAAAAATGTGTTCTACAAATAACTTCGCTGTCTCTTCCGCCGTGACTGCATGCGAGCAAGCTACAAAGTGGCACATCTTTGTTAGTAGGTCTACCACCACCATGATGGCTGTTTTCCCTTTGGACTTCGGCAGATCAGTCATAAAATCTATCGACACTGCCTCCCAAGGTCGTTCTGGGGTTGGTAAGGGTTCTAATAGCCCCGCCGGCGCCCGCCTTTCCCCTTTGGCTCGCTGGCATTGCTCGCACCCTCTTACATACTCACGTACATCTTCCCTCACCTTAGGCCACCAAAATTCCCTGGTGACCAACCACATGGTTTTGTGTTGTCCAAAATGCCCGCCGTAGGGCTGTCGTGCAACTGCTTGAGTACCCTCCCCTTAAGTCTCCTTCAGGGATATACAGTGCCCTTTGTAATACAAAGCTCCATTTCTTTCCTCGAAACCCCTGGTTCCTCTCCCTCACCCCTAAGACCTCTGAGCTTATTCTGGGCGTATTCATCATTCTCTGTTTCCTCTACCAGTTCTCTTTGTCCCACCAATGCCGCCCCACACACCCAGCGGTCCTCTGGAATGACATGTCTCTCTTCGGGTGCTCCTCCCCTCCAAATATTCAGGTTTGCGTGAGAGAGCGTCCGCCCTAATGTTCTCTGGGCCTGGCACGTAACCAATCTCAAAGTTAAATTTGGAGAACTCCTGGGCCCATCTCACTTGCCGTTGGTTGAGCACTCGTGCCGTCCTCCAATACTCTAGGTTCTTGTGGTCAGTGCACACTTGCACCTTATGTTGTGCGCCAATTAGCAGGTGCCTCCATCTCCGGAACGCCTCATGAATGGCTAGTAGTTCTCGGTCATACACCGTGTAGTTCCTCTCGGATTTGTTCAGCTTTCGCGAAAAAAAGCACACGGTCTCCACTCTGACTCCTCCTTCCCTGGCTGCAGAAGCACCGCCCCAATCGCTCTGTCTGATGCGTCAGTTTCCACTCTCATCGGTTTTGTAAATCCACATGCAGGAGTTGTTGTTCCGAGGCGAAGGCCCTTTTAGTTCCTCAAATGCTCGCTCCGCCTCCTCAGTCCAAACGAACTTCTTCTTACTGCTGAGACAGTCCGTAATGGGCGCCGTCAGTTGGGCAAAGTTTCGGATGAACTTACGATAGAAGTTCCCAAATCCTAGGAACCTCTGCACATCCTTCCTTGTTTTGGGTGTTTTCCATTCCAGCACCGCCTGGACCTTGCCGGGATCCATGGCCAATCCCTTGTCTGACAGGCGATACCCCAGGAATTCCACCTCCTTGGTATGAAACTGACACTTCTCCAGTTTCACCCACAGCTGGTTGGCTTGCAGCCTGCTCAACACTTCTCTGACGTCTTTCACATGCTGCTCCTCATTCTCAGAATACACCAACACGTCGTCTAAGAAGGCCACACAATTCTTGTAAAGCAAAGGCCCCAGGACGTGGTTCATAAACGATTGAAAGGCTGCGGAGCCTGCTTGTAGGCCGAAGGGCATAACCAAATATTCAAATGCCCCTAAAGGGGTGAACAGGGTGGTTTTCCATTCATCCCCCTTCCTTATTCGTATCAGGTTGTACGCCCCCCTTAGGTCCAGCTTTGTGAAAATCTTTCCCTTCCGCACCCTTGTCAAAATGTCGTCAATCCTGGGCATAGGGAAGGCCACTGGTTCTGACACTGCATTTAAGGCCCTGAAGTCACACACCAGCCTCGGCTTGTTCGTGTTTTCTTATCCACAAAAACACTGGGCTGCCCCCACCGCCCTGGACTCTCTGATGAACCCTCTCTTCAGGTTCTTGTCAATGAACTCTCTTAGCTCCTGCATCTCTCTGTCTGACATGGCGTACAGCTTGCCTACAGGGAGCTGTGCCCCAGGGAGTAAATTGATTTGACAGTCAAAGGGTCTATGCGGGGGTAGTTGGTCAGCTTCCCTTTCGCTGAAGACGTCGCGGAGATCTGCGTATTGTCGTGGTACCTTCACGTTCTCCGTTACTTCAGTCCCTGCTAGGGTGGCTTGGGCCCCTGCCAAACCCTTTCCCTCTTTGCAGTGTTCTAAGCAATGTGCTGAACCAAAAGAAACCACTCTCTGATGCCAGCCCACCAGCGGATCATGTAACGCTAGCCAGCTCATCCCCAATATAATGGGAGCTCCTCCCAAGGTGGCCACATTAAACGCTATCAGTTCGGTGTGCCTTGCCACCTTCATTATCATTGGGACGGTCTGCAAGCTGACTTCTCCTCCCAACAGCTCCCTGCCATCGATCGTGGTCACCTGCAGGGGTTGCTTAAAGGATCGTCTGTATCTGGTGTTCAGCTGCAAACTCTTTGCTCATGAAATTGCAGGAGCTGCCTGAGTCCAACAGCGCCTTTATCTTTAGAGGGTGTCCGTTTGGCAGCTCTAGCGCCACTTCTATCACTAGGGCGGGTTTAGGAGGTTCTGGCGTGGGCACTCTCACTGCTCTTTGGCCTGGCTGCTGTGCCCCGACGGTGGCAGCCAGGCGTTGGCTTTACTTGCTCCGGTATTTCTTCCTCTCTTCCCTCCACAGCTCCTACCATCCCTTGCCATTCCTTCCTCTGAGGGCAGACTCTGGCAAAGTGACCTGGCTGTTGGCAGAGATAGCATTTCCGGGCGCGTTTTCCCTCCTTCTTTCCCCCTCACTGGGCTTTGAAACTGCGCGCGCGCTGCTGTTCCGATTTCCATCGGCTCTGCCGGCGGGAAAGTTGGCTCTGGAATGTCTGGAATGCGGAACTCCTTCCAACGTTCCCCTTCCCTTCCCGCCTCTCCAATGCTCTCGCCTCCTGGCGCGCTCCTATGGTCAGCGCTGATTTGGTCAGCTGGTCCATAGACTCCGCCCTGGGCGCCCGGGAAAGTTCGTCTTTCACAGCCGAAGAAAGCCCTTCTTCAAAGAGCATTTGAATGGGTTCCGCCGATAAGTCCCACCCCAATCTGTGAACCAGCATGGTGAACTCAGTCCAGTACTCACGGACAGATCGGCTCCCCTGTTTGCAAGCCATTAACTGTCTGCGCACCACTCCCTGTTCAATATCGCTGGAAAACATCAGATCCATGGCGCGAAAGAACTTCATCGTGTCCTTTAGGACGTCACTATTCGCTGCCATCAGGGTCTAACCCAGTCTCTCGCCCCCTTTTCAAGATGCCCAATCACGAAAGCCACTCGTGATTCCTCGTCAGGAATTCATCAAACTGCAGATTGAGGGCATATTGCATCTCTGTCCGAAAGCCATGATAGTCTTTGGGCTCCCCCCCAAACTTCTGCACCAATCCTGGTACCTTTCTGGCGAGCTGGGTGGCTTTCCCTTTTGTCTGCATCCTGAGCCCTCCTCTCCTCAAGCCTCGCCGTCTGCAGCGCTAGCTGGACCTCCAACACCCGGTACCTTTCTTCCAGGCTTGGACCCGCTCCAGCTCCTGCTTCTCCGGTTCCGGCTGGGTTGCTCATGATGCCTTCTCCTGCACAAGCTGCTTTCAAAGACTGTCGGAATGCTGTGATGGGATGATGAGCTGCTTGTGCGTAAAATAGTATCCCCTCAGAGTTTGTTCAAGTCCACAAACCTCTGTCTGTGACGGAGCCCCTCAGACATGGCTCCTCTAGTCACTAGCAGATTCCGACAGTGGTTGCTTTCGGAATCGCTTCCAACATAAAAGCTCCTTAACGGAAACACGTCTTCTGGACTCTCTGCGTGACAGTTTCCGGCGAGGAGTGGGTGTTCCTACAGGAGGTCCTGAAACCTCCCCACTGTTTTCGCTGGAAGTGTCTCTGAGCCATCCCTCCAGCTCACTTTCCCTCAGCTCAGCTCCTCTCCCCCTACTGGTTCCCTCTTCAGCTGCTGAGTCTCTCCCAACCTGTGTGAGCCCTTTCACCTCCCTTCCTTCCGATGGCAGTTCCCTGACATTATCTTTTCTTCTGGGTTATTTTTTCCAAATACAGAAAAAAGCTGCTATAGAGTGGAGAAAGGAAATGTGGTTGTATGAATCAGTCCCAAAGTCACATATAAAGTTGATTATTTGATGGGTACAGAGTTGTGACTGTATATCTATTAGCCTCAACTTGATGGCTTACAAACTGGCAAACCAACCTAAAACTTTTCACCAATAGTAAAAGTTAATATATCCCTCAAATAAAACTATTCATCACCTGTTATGGAGATCCATCTTGACAGGGCTGAGATGCAGTCTGACTGTTAACTGCTTTTGGCTTTACCAAGACTTAAAGCATATCCTCTTTGTGACATCACACGTGACATCAGAATGGCATATTTGCATTCAACCTAGACTATCTCCATGCCAACAGCAATGGCCAGCAAACTTTTGCAATCAAGTAACCATCAACCTGACTACCCAGTTGTTTCTATCTAGACTACTGGATGTTTATTTTTTGCTCTCATAATCAAAGCCTGAAGAAGACCTGCGTATAATCTGCAAACTGGCTTCCACTGTTAAAGAAAACTAATTGTCAGGGACTGGGCAGAGGAGGAAAGGTGGAGACCACCTCCCCATCCTGATCCTTCCAGGGAGGAGGAAGAAGAAGATGACAGTATAGATTTACAACAGGGGGTTGAGGGAGGTAGCAGCTCAGAGGCAGATGAGGGGGAAAGTTGGGAAATCATGGGAGAGCCAGAACAACACCCGGCTGACACATTGTCATTAGAAAGCATTCCAGACCCTCCATCTCCCAGAACCCAGAGAGCCTTAAAAGTAGGAGAGCAAAGAGCTCAATACAGAGGGCACTTAGCAGCACCCATAAAGGAGGTGATGTTGATGATGAATGAGGAAGTGGGAGAGATGGGGGGGGGTTGGAAATTCACTTGGGACAATTGCCATTATCCAAGAGGCTGGTTCTATAGCCTCTCTCTGTAAAGATTGAAATAAAAAAGGATGGTAAGAAACTTTTCCTTGTCTTTATACTTTCCTTGGCAACCAGCTGGGAACCGCTGACAGCATCCTGACACTAATGATGTAATTTCTCTTCTTGTGGGTATTAATACTCAACCATCAGTTCACTTACACAAAAAGACTATAGCAATGCATTATTGCTTGTGTCCAGGATAATCCTTTGGTCCTACACTGTGATCTGAATATTTCTTCTTACTTCTTCTGGGTGCCTTTGTTTTAAGGGGATATTCTCTATAATATGAAAGCCCATGCAGATCATACAAATATTGCTGATGCAGTTTAATCTTACATACAATCACAAAATCAATGTGCATCTTCTCTGAACTCCCAATGGTAGAGTTCCTAGGATCACAGAGCTCATAGGTCAATATCCAAGAGAATCATTTCAGATGAAGTGATAAGTGGGAGAATGGAGATCGAACATGATTGACGTCTACCTCCTGTTCTCCTGAGCAGATTTAGAATTCCTTCCAGTTTGCGAGTTAAATTTATTTGTCTGCATCACAGGAAGATTGTGCATCTTTCCTTCAGGTGAGATATGGAAGAACAATACTGGAGGAGATGGAAAAGCATGAAGAACAGGAGGAAGTCAAAACAGAGAGTTCTTACCCTTCGTACTCCCTTTGCAGCCTCATGAATCAGGCAATTCTAGATTGCCAAGAAAAAGTGTTGGGGGAACTTAAATGTTGTTCCAGAAAAGATGGAGCCCATTATAAGCAAGAAGGAGAAGCAAGCTAGCAATCTTCTCTAACACTGGGGTTTTCTTCAACAACAAAGCCATTTGATTGATACATAAAATCTGTTAAGTGAGTTCAATTATATTTAAGTAGTTTCCCTGCTCTTGCCAAACACTCATCCTCATGTACACTTGCTAGACTTTGCAGGCACTTTTTTTATGATTATTCATCCTGATGTCCGCAAATGGAACTCTATTAATGCTCATTTCAAAGGCCACTGTAAATTCAGACACATATAAACACCACACACAATGCTGAGCTTGCAGAACCGCTTATACATCAGACTATTAAGAAATACTTTTTTTTTAATTTGAAAAGTAAATCAAGGAACTTTTTAATAGGTTAGGAAGGAAGGCATAAGCATAAATAAGTATCATAGTTTGTCCATTCTTTTAATGGTTTCATTGCCGTCATAAACTAAAATGTTAATAATTTATATTGTGTGTCTTCCTTTTAAAATAAATAAATAAATAACTGCTTACTGAGGAGCTTAACAGTGTATATAGATTGTAATGTGACTGAGGAATTTACAACCTTGGTACAAGGCTGGTTAACATGAGCCAGTGAAAAATAGTGCCATAAAATTTCATTTACCATTTACCATTATGCTGGTCCGAAGCAGCCCAAGCCTCTTTATGTGAGCTCATAAATGGGGGGTTGCTTTTATTATGTGGCTCCATTAACTATGCCATACCCCCCAAAAGGCAGAAGTTATCACCTTTAAATGAATACCCTCGTCAGGTCAGGATTTATGTGCATGTATGAAGAAGAAACAAGATATACGTGTGTCTTTTGCACAGATAAACATGGACTTATCAGCATGCAGACTGTAGAAGGAATCCAGTTGTGTAAACCTCAGACAAAAACAGATGGCTTAATACCTCAGGGTTTCTCCACAGTTACCCTTCCTCTGATTTAAATCTCCACACTGAAGCACTGTGGGGGGGTTGTTGTTGTTTTATTGTTTTTGGGTTATATATATATTTTTTTGCTGGGGAGCTGTCCCTGCAAAATCCCACTCTTTAAACCTCAACCAGAGCAAGCATCAATCCATGGAAAACTCAAATGGACATTTGCTCCAATTCAGCTTTAATGAGTGGGTTTTTGCAGAGAAAGATTGGGGCAAAACAAATAAATAAATCCCAAACTCTGACATGGACCTCTGCCTGGATAAAGTGGGGCAAAAGTAAGTGTGGATAAGCCCTCAGTCAAAAGGAAATTTTCCCAATTCCATCGAATATTCAGGGAATGGGAAAGGAATGCCAGCATCCTTTCTGAAAGAGTGAATGTTGGTTAGAGGCATCATGGAACCTACTAGGAAAGAGATAATGGAGTCCAAGTTCCTTTTGCTATGCTCTGGGTTCCACTGGTAGGATTTCAGAATGCTGGTGATAATGGATTTTGTGCATGTGCCAACCAGCCAACCAACCAAACTCCTTGCAGTATACACACACCCATTTTTTTTATCTTGTTGTTGTTGATGTTTAGTCGTTTAGTAGTGTCCGACTCTTTGTGACCCCATGGACCAGAGCACACCAGGCACTTCTGTCTTCCACTGCCTCCCGCAGTTTGGTTAAACTCATGCTGGTAGCTTCGACAACACTATCCAACCATCTCGTCCTCTGTCGTCCCCTTCTCCTTGTGCCCTCCATCTTTCCCAACATCAGGGTCTTTTCCAGGGAGTCTTCTCTTCTCATGAGGTGGCCAAAGTATTGGAGCCTCAGCTTCAGGATCTGTCCTTCCAGTGAGCACTCAGGGCTGGTTTCCTTCAGAATGGATAGGTTTGATCTTCTTGCAGTCCATGGGACTCTCAAGAGTCTCCTCCAGCACCATAATTCAAAAGCATCAATTCTTCGGCGATCAGCCTTCTTTATAGTCCAGCTTTTACTTCCATACATCACTACTGGGAAAACCATAGCTTTTACTATACGGACCTTTGTTGGCAAGGTGATGTCTCTACTTTTTAAGATGCTGTCTAGGTTTGTCATTGCTTTTCTCCCAAGAAGCAGGCGTATTTTAATTTTGTGGCTGCTGTCACCATCTGCGGTGATCATGGAGCCCAAGAAAGTAAAGTCTCTCGCTGCCTCCATTTCTTCCCCTTCTATTTGCCAGGAGGTGATGGGACCAGTTGCCATGATCTTCATTTTTTTTGATGTTGAGCTTCAGACCATATTTTGTGCTCTCCTCTTTCACCCTCATTCAAAGGTTCTTTAATTCCTCCCCACTTTCTGTCATCAAGGTTGTGTCATCTGCATATCTGAGGTTGCTGATATTTCTTCCGGCAATCTTAATTCCGGCTAGGGATTCACCCAACCCAGCCTTTCGCATGATGAATTCTGCATATAAGTTAAATAAGCAGGGAGACAATATGCAGCCTTGTCGTACTCCTTTCCCAATTTTGAACCAATCAGTTGTTCCATATCCTGTTTTTTGGTGTAAGTTCTTTTAAAAAAATTCTGCCTTTCTGAACCAGTGGTCCTGCACAAGTCTGCAATATTTTGAAAAAGGAACCATTTGGGAGCTTGCTGCGGCCTCCCCACCAACAGCTGCTGCCTGAGGTGGGAACATCACTCTGCCTAACGGTAGGGCGTGCAATGTTTCAGAAATTTTCAAGAAGCAAGCATGATGTTTGAGTTGGCAACTGACCACCTTCATTATTGCTGGCCACTTTTGACAGTAAAACAATAGCCATAGTGGAACTAACTGCACTTCCTGTTCTTAGCAGGAGTCTTAAATATTTTAGATATGTTCACACAGTTTCTGTGTATCGGATTTTACCCCCTTTCCTCTCTCTAATAGCTTCCCTTATACGTTAATCCCATCTGCTTTTAGCTGGCCTTCGAAATCAGATAGCGATGGCAGAAGGTTAACCTTTACAACAGCATGTGTTTTGTAAACCATTTCTTTCCTGAGAAGCTTAACCTGAGGGGGCAGAGAAGGGGACGTTGAAGAAAGGTGATTTTTAAAAGGTGTACGCTTTCTGAAACCTGTAGAGCAATGCCATGACTTACTGCTTCCAAAGCTAGAGGCAAGATATTCAACCTGAAAAGGGAAGGTGGTGTGAATTTTTTTTTTTTTTAAAGCAATTTATTGGGTTTTACAATAGGAATAAATGTAATAAACAATATAGCATTCGTCTTAACATAATTTCACATTTTCTTTGGACTTCCTCACATCTCCCGCTCCCACCTTCATCATTATAACATTTTGTCAGCAATTTATCATCTTATTTAAATTCTTATATCTCTTCGATATTTCATAATCTTAAAGTTCTCATAAAGAGTTAAACTTTCACAACTTTTCTTGTTTCCTTAAAAATTTCTAAGTTAAGTGGTGCTCAGTTATTTAGTCCAGCATCTTATTCAGCATTCAATCAAATCACAATGTTTTTGTAGGTAGTTCTTAAATTTCTTCCAATCCTCCTCGATTCTCTCTTCTCCCAGGTCACGGATTCTGCCAGTCATTTCAGCCAGTTGCATATAGTCTATCAGTTGCATCTGCCATTCTTCCAGTGTGGGTAGATCTTGGGTTTTCCAATGTTTTGCGAGTAGTATCCTTGCTGCTGTTGTTGCATACATAAAAATGTCTGGTCCTTCTTTGCCACCCCTTGGCTGACAATACCCAAAAGGAAGGCCTCTGGTTTCTTAGTGAAGGTATATTTAAATACCTTTTTCAATTCATTATAAATCATTTCCCAGAACGCCTTCACTTTAGGGCATGTCCACCAGAGGTGGAAGAACGTTCCTTCACACTCTTTGCATTTCCAGCACTTGTTATCAGACAGGTGGTAAATTTTTGCGAGTTTGACTGGGGTCATATACCATCTATAAATCATTTTCATTACATTTTCTTTCAAAGCATTACATGCAGTAAATTTCAATCCATTACTCCACAGCCTTTCCCAGTCCTCAAACATAATATTATACCCAATATCCTGTGCCCACCTTATCAGGGAAGGTGGTGTGAATTAACCCATTCATATATGTAATGGCTGTCTCTGGATGGCAAACATATATCCATCAAACTGAGAAAGTCCACAAGCTAAAAAGTTAAACATGGCCACAAATAAAGTTGATTATTTGGTATCTGTTGTACTGAAGTGATCTTAAAAACCTGGCTCACACATACACACATATCACTTCTTTCCTTTAAACTTAAAGGAATGTGTGAGAAGACTCTTCTGAAAGAGCATACTCTTTCAGGTGGTGAAAATCCTGTATGAGTGGCCACATCTTTCTTTCTTTTTTAAATTATTGCTCAATTTCCACATAACAAATTATCAAACCATATTCATTATTTTCCCCCCTTTCACCCCCACCAAGGACTTCCCTCAGCTCCTCTCCCTGATTTCTCTTCACATATTTTCTCTGCATATTATAAACTTGTACATATCCTTACATATCTATCCATCATGTTAGCAACCAATAAATTTCTGTATGTTTATTCAAAACCTGCCAAGGAGTCCAGTTCATTTTGTTGTCTTTTTAGATAGTTTGTAAAAAGTTCGGATTCCTCCTTGAAGTCACAGTTGTCCTTGTCTCGCAGTTTGTAAGTCAATTTGGCCAGTTCTACATAATTCATCAATTTCTCTTGCCACTGTTCTTTTGTCGGGATTTCCTCATTCTTCCATCCTTGTGTTATCAAGTCTCTTGCCTGAGTGGCCACTTCTTAATGCAACTTGGAAGTTGTTGGCCATTGAACAGACCCTAACTCTTGTCACCTCCAGACATGCTTCCACTCTAGTTGGGTCAAATGGAAGGGCTTTGGAGAAGGTATGAGTTTTGTTTTCACTGTGAAGCATGAAAATTAGAGGTGGTGCTTAGGGAAATTTGGGAAGGAGTTGCCCTCTTCTATATTTCAGGTCACATATGATTCTTTCTCCCATGTGCTTAAATCACAGGTTATTATGAGGTATATGAAAGTGAGCAGAACAAATGTCCTTCAAATATAGTACATCACTTTGCGGGCATTTAAACTTGGAGCCTTGTCATTTAACCATTTAAATAGCCTCTTGTGAGCTGGATGAGGCTGTTATTAGTAAAGCTTTGGATTTTAAATGATGGCATTTGTATAATTTTGCATTGGGATTTAGATTTCCTTTTTATTAAATTAATGTCCTGACAAACCTATAACACCACCATATGGCTGGTTCCTATTCAGAGAAGCATTCCAAGTCTGAGGCTACAGCTCTTGCCTAGATATATTGTTAGCAGATTGAGACTAAGTTTCATGGCTGTGGACTGCTGTCTCTCAGAGTTAATAACACCTCCTGGGAGGGAATTACAAAAAAAATTCTTTTATATCTCTAGAATGCTATTTTCTACCTCATTAATCCAATGGAAGACAATAGTATGAAGCTTGCCAACTTTGTTCTGGATTATGACCATCATCATATATGTCATAAGTGAAGTCAGTGGCATGGAATGCCAGTGGCAACATAAGCCACCACCTTCACTGCCTAACACCCGTCATGTGGGGGTAAGGATTGCTGCTCTTTAGTTATGAACTTAGGCTGAACATTTATTTATTTTCTTATATTTTTATCCTGCTTTTCTTCCCTCCTAAAACCCAAGGTGGCATACGCATGTTCCCAGGTCTCCCATCCAGCCAAAGACCAAACCCAGATCTGCAAAGATTCAGCAGATTCACATCCCTGCAGTGAGACATAGTCTGTCAGGCTTCAGCAAACTGGCTTCCTCCCCCTGTTGCAGCAGATAAGTAGAACAAAGGAAAAGGAGTCTTCTTACCATTTAGGAACTTTAATAATCACAGCGAGAGAACAAGGAACACATCTCCTAGAATGGCGGTGCTCCCAATTAAGGACTCCACCCTCTTACGTCTCTATTAATCTACGTCACTTCTACGTTTTGTAATCTGAGCTTGTACCCTCTGTGCTTTGTGTGTTATCTATTCTGCCACTTTCCAATCTCTTCTTGACCATGGGAAGAGTGGAGGAATGCTTTCCGGAGACATTGAATCTGTTAACCCTCTCTCTTCCAGTGTTTCCTATCCTAGCTGTTCCCCATCCAGTATTTCCCAGCTTCTGCCTTCAGAACTATGTCCCTCTGCAAACCACTGTTCCAAATCTATACTGTTTTCCTGCTCCTGGGAAGATTCAGGATCCGGATAAGGAGGAGGGGGAGGTTCCCACCTTCCTCCTCAGTGCATCCCTCCTCAGCACAGTCTCTGACATAGTCCGTGCTATTATCAACATAATACAAACCAGAGTCTGTTGCCTGTCAAGGTTACACAAATGTAAGGATTACTCCCACATAGAAATTGTTGTACTCCTAGTGAGTACCTTGGTACCATGTACCCTTGTCCACCCATGCTAATTGTTATAGGCAGGCCCATACAGAGCTCACCTGTGGCCCTGGGCAGGAGTCTTGTTAGAATAAAGTTATAAACACTTGGCATGACAGAGTAAATTCAGCAGGCCCCTGGTGCCCCCTACCAGGGCCTAGGGCAAGTGTACTCAACTGCCCCCTCTTAAGTAACATATGTTACGATTTTAAACAAGAATCACAGTGTGCTACATGAACAGCTGAGCTTCCTTAGAGGAGGAATTAGCAAAGATACAATTAAGCAGTAAGAAATTGATACAACACTATTAACCAGTGTTTTATTTTATTTATTTTTCCCAATTTGAACAATAAAATGGTGATTTTCTTGAGTCAAAATGAGAGTAACCCTAAACATTTTTAAGGGGGGGGGGGGAAGCACTGCTGTTAACTCATTAGAAGGAACAGAGAGAGTGACAGTATTACAAAAGTTTCATTGGTTACCATCTCTGTTTCCAGGCTCAATTCATAGTGTTTTAACCTTTAAATATGAAATGATTTGACAATCAGGTACCCAAAGGACTGTCATCTAGTAGCAAATGATGATGATGAGGCGTAGGAAGGACAGGTGGTACCTGGTGCAGAAAATTTCTTGTCATACCCCCCCACACACACATTGATTTATTTATTTTTTTGCCTGCAAAAATGGTTTTACCTTATTTTATATTTTCTTACTAAGGAATGTGGATTCTGAGCTTCTGATAACAAGTTGGCGACTATGGACAGATACTTAAATCTACAGGATAGATTGTGTTTTGGTTTGTGTTATTTTATTTATATTTATTGTTTATTTATTTAATAAAATTTATTTTTAAAAAACCTGCAAAGTGGTTTACCAAAACAAAAAACAAAAAACCCCACAACAGTAAAATCAAGAAAAATTAACAATCCTACTTTAAAACATACAAAAGCTAAAATATTAAGATTAAAATTACTTCAACTTCCTAAACTTCCTAGGTATGCTTGCCTAAAGAAGAATGCTTTTAACAGGTGCCGGAAAAGAGTCTAGCAAAGGCACGTGCTTTGTTGAAATTTCAGCCTTCACGACATAGGAAAACGGCCAAGTAAACAGCTATTTTCATGGAGGAGGGTCAAGATACTAACTGATATGCATGAAATTTCATATGTAGCTATATAATCCCTAGCGTAGTAAGATACGATCTTTGGAGCAGGCTTTTTTTTAAAAAAAAAAAAGTTTTTTATGAGCCGCCCTAGTAGGGCAGTAATTGTTCCTTGATAATTTGTCACCCCCTCCATGATGGCATCTGGGGTGACCCGCCCCTCCACCCCACTTTCCTACACCCCTGAGTGACAGCACTCACCTGACCTCTGATTGCTTGTGTCATTGAAATGACAAAGCTGGTGGAGTGCAAGCATACCAGCCGAGCCAATCCGAAAACCCCATGAGTGTGCACCCTTACTGCCGCCTTGCCCATCCTCTCCCCACATTTTGGATGTCTTGTGGGTGCTAACGCTCCACCACGCTATCTGCTACTAACATCATGTGCCAGGTGAAAATGTCAACCATTTAATCATTTTCAGATGCTCCCCATTTTCTGAAGAGGCTACAGAAGAGAAGGCCTTTTCAGTGGTAGCAGCTAAGCTCTGTACTGTACCCGACACATTTACTGTCTATGTTTTTCAGCATCAAGCCAGGTCCATCTTATTATCTCATGCTTTTTAATTGGTTTTTATACATTTTTGGAACCTTTTAACCAGTGCTTTTTTCTGGGGGTATGCAGGGGAATGCACACCCCTAAACATTTTGTGACTCTAACGGGAGAGGAAACTAAAACATTAACTTTTTTAGTTTCTTATCTAGCATGGTGAATTGTCAATTCTGTTGCTACCCTCGATAGCAGCCTCATTTCCTGTCACGGTGTTTCCTGAGTCTCAGATGGAAGCGAGCATTTAATGTGTGAAGTAGGAATTGGAATCTAGCATGGTGATTGGTCAGTTTCGTTGTATTTACTGTATTTATTTTTCCTGATTTATAAAATTGTGACTTTCTTTTGTCAAAATGAGAGTACCCCTAAAAAATTTTCAGAAAAAAACACTGCTTTTAACTAATTTCATGTTGCTGCTGTTTTCATTGGTTCTGCTTTGGGTTGCCATGTTTCAAGAAGTAAAAATCCTGACACAAAATTTGTTGAGCTTCTTTTGGGGAATTGCCCCCAAAAGTTGCTGAGCTTTTTTTGGGAAACGAACCTCAAAGTTGATTTGGGAATTCACCCCCAAAAAGGCAAAGTGCGATAGTCAGGACATTTTGTTAATTTTTCAACCCCCCCCCCCCGTCGCTAATTTCACCATTTGAATCCCATACATATCTGGGAAATTCCGAACATATGGCAACCCTAGTTCTGCTGGCTGCAATTTAATTGTTAGATGATTTTTACTGCTGCCATATTATCTATATCTGTCTATCTATCATCTATCTATCTATCATCTATCATCATTGCATTTTATTTGTATTCTTCAAGATTATTATGAGCTGCATTGAGCCAAAGTAGTATGGCTTGTAAAGATCATATAATTTTAATTACAACACCAAACAAGCATTACAGATTGTCTTATCCTTTCCTTCTCATTGCGAATAGCATCTGAGGCATTAATAGAGACTTCCCTTTATGCCGTTCAACCACTTGCTCTAAGACACAAAGGCCTCTTGGTAACCATTGAGGTACATACTAAAGGGTGATGTTGGGAATGCAGATTAATATAGGGAATACTGGGGATTGGATTGAACCCCTTGGGTGTCAAGATCAGACCAGTTCTTTTCAGGAGAAATTCAAGTTCGCAGCTCTGAAATCTTGTCAGTTTACATCATGCTGACTGTATGCTCAAGAATATAGTAGATTTTTAGCAAAATTATTCACTTTAAAGTTTTTTCCCCTGGTCACAGTTTGCATCCAATAAAACTTTTCTCTTCCCCTCCATCAGGTATACATTAAAAAACTGTGTGCTGTTACCACATCTGACTGTTCAACCCTCGGTTTAAAGGAGCCATTAGCAATTTCCAACGTCCCTCGGCTTTTTCCTCCTCACTCCAAAAGGTGTCTTTTAGAGAAGGTTTGGAAATTGGTCACCTTTGTTGTTGTGGGTGTTTTTTTGACCCCTATGAACACTGAGATTTGTAAGAAATAACTTCAGCAGTTGAAGACTTACTCACAGTTATGGAAACTTCAGGGGGTTATGATAGTTGAATTTATGTTTGGGCAGAAGCAGGACTTAAAGGCCACAGAGAAGCTGAGGAAAAGAATTGCCTTTTGTACTGACAAAACTGCCATCTGCAGAAGTGGAGAGACATGAAAGAACTAGTAATACAGCAACACTCCTTAAGGCCTGCATTCACTTCTCAATCATATGTTCAAGTGCCATTGGTTAACTCTACCCATCTTCTTCATTCAACACTATTGCAAGGCCGGTCCTACTGTTAGACAGAGTGAAGTAGCCAGATCAGCTAGCTGGTATGAGTTGTCATGAAGGACATTTGTTGTTGTTGTTGTTTTTGTTGTTACTGTCAGAGGGTAGGTAGGAGAGGTGTTTATAGGATTGTCTGCCTCGGGTACTAAAGTAACTTGAGCAACCTTGAATCCTGTGCATTTTAGTTTGTGTGTGACATTTACTTTGCTGCCTCAGAGAGCAGATTGCCTAGTGTAGGTCCTGCATCTATTGGCACTAGAGAATTGTGCACGATGGGTGTCTCTCTGTGTGTAGATATTGAACTTATCTATGTGAAGTAAGTCAAGTCCGTGCATTATCCTTCCCCGGCCAATGGGAGGTGTAGACAAAACAAATAGAGGCATCAGTTTGAGGAAGGCTGCCCAACAACATTGCAATATTTTCCAGAAAATCTAGCTTTCCTTAGACCAAACAGTTTATAAATACAGTGGAATCTTGGTTCTCGAACTTAATCCATTCTGGGAGTCCGTTTGACTCCCGAAACCATTCGAAAACCAAGGCACGGCTTCTGATTGGCTGCAGGAGCTTCCTGCACTCAAGCGGAAGCTGCATCAGAGATTCAGCTTCCCAAAAACGTTCAAAAACTGGAACACTAACTTCCGGGTTTTTGGTGTTCGGGAGCCAAAATGTACAAGTACCAAGGCGTTCGAGAACCAAGGTACTGAATGATGCTTCAGTACCAGAATCACTCTCTCCTAGATTCAAGCACTCAAATGCTTTCCTGTCTTGTCTATATTATACAAGCAAACTTCAAGTGGTGCCCATAGGAGACTTCAACTTGTTACTCTGCTGCTTTTGATTTGGTGACTTACTGTACTGGAAGATTGGGCAGGACACCTATATGCAGCAATACTTATGAAGCACCTCTCATGAGACATCTACAGCAAGTACCCATTTGTTTCTGGATCTAATTCAAAGTGCTGGTTTGTATCTTTAAATCTTGCAGGGCTACAGCTCACAGTCCCAGAAGTTGTGAATGGCTTCACAGGCCTCAAAGCTGTCCATCACCTCTGAACTTGCAGGAGGAGCTTGTGTGGACATGCACACCATCCCCTCCTGGAATGTTTACCTAAGCCCCAGTATAGGGCTTCTATATACAGTGGTACCTCGTGTTACATATGCTTCAGGTTACATACGCTTCAGCTTACAGACTCCACTAACCCAGAAATTACACCTCGGGTTAAGAACTTTGCTTCAGGATGAGAACAGAAATCATGCTCCGGCGGCATGGCAGCAGCAGGAGGCGCCATTAGCTAAAGTGGTGCTTCAGGTTAAGAACAGTTTCATGTTAAGTACGGACCTCCGGAACGAATTAAGTACTTAACCCGAGGTACCACTGTAATGGGTTTTGTTAATAATACATCTGCCAGAACCTTCACCAAAATATCTATTGTGTTTCATTCTTATTCTTCACTCTCCTTCTCCAGAAGCAGGCTTTGCACAGCTCGTGCACTTCAAAGTAGGCCAGGAGCAAGCAAAATGCCTATTTTACCAAGATTGTAGCCCCCAACAGAATCCACAGTTCATAATTACCATGTAACTTTCCCCTCCTATCGATTCCTTTTGTTTATTTTCCCAATTAGTGCCATTGCCTTCCGTTAAGAGTTTGGGTGTAATCCTTGATGCCTCCCTTTCCATGGAGGCGCAAGTTACAGCAACAGCCAAGGCGACATTTTTCCACCTTCGCCGCATCAAGCAGTTGGTTCCTTACCTTTCCCGCCCCGACCTGGCCACAGTGATCCATGCGACGGTCATCTCCAGGCTTGACTACTGTAATTCGCTCTACGCGGGGCTGCCCTTGAAGCTGTCCCAGAAACTCCAGCGGGTGCAGAATACTGCAACGAGACTCCTCACGGGGTCTCTGCCATGGGAGCATATTCACCCAGTGCTTTTCAAGCTGCACTGGCTCCCGGTGGAGTACAGGATCAGATTTAAGGTGCTGCTTTTGACCTTTAAAGCCCTTCACGGCCTAGGACCCTCGTACCTACGGGACCGCCTCTCCCGGTATGCCCCACGGAGAGCCTCAAGGTCCATAAATAGCAACACCCTTGTGGTCCCGGGCCCTAAGGAAGTTAGATTGGCTTCAACCAGAGCCAGGGCCTTTTCAACTCTGGCTCCGGTCTGGTGGAATGCTCTGCCTCACGAGACCAGGGCCCTGCAGGATCTGATTTCTTTCCTCAGGGCCTGTAAGACAGAGTTGTTCCGCCTGGCCTTTGGCTTGGAGCCAATTTGATTCCCTCCCTCTCTTTCTTTTTTCTTTTCCTTCTCCCTCTGCGATGAGGCTACATTTTAATATTTTAATGTTTCAATATTTTAATTTTGGTTTTTTTAAATTTTGTTTTTAAGTTGCAATCATTTAACTTGTTTTTATTATTGCTTGTAAGCCGCTCTGAGCCCGGCCTTGGCTGGGGAGGGCGGGGTATAAATAAAAATTATTATTATTATTATTATTAAAGATTCTTGATGTGCCAAGCAACCTGTTCCAAGCCCATCCTTTTATGTAGCTTTGCATTACACACTGAACACATTAATCTAAATAACAGTTGATGTAGGGATATCTGCAATTTTCTACTTCTTCTGTGAAAAGTGAGGATTTTCTGTTGCAGATGAGTGTCTGAAAGAGACATCAAACCTGTGAATATTGCCATCAGATGCATGAGAAAAATAGAAGTGGATGTGCAAGTTGATGCAGAGTCATGACAATTGTGGCTTTTTTTCTTCTGGATTCAGAGAGTCCATAAAGACTACCAAAGTGGCTTTTACGGGCTTAATTTAAAAGCTGAGAAAAATAAAGAACAAAACCAGAAGAAGCAGATATAATCTTACAGCCCTTAGTTTTGCCAGAGAATCCTTTCCCTTCTTTGGCAGGCAATGGGTCCTAACCCCTCACAGACAATGAGTGCAGCATCTGGTGTGAATAGAAAGGTCTGCCCCGATGTTTTCATTAGACTTAGGTGGGCTTAAGTGTTATCTACTGTGTGGTAGTGCTGACAACATCATATATTTGGGGTCAAATTAACATACCTTGACCCTGTTTACATCTGGGCAGGTCAGCAGAGTAGTCATAAAAAGAGGCCAACTACAAAGAGCTGTGAATGATGAGATGTTCCCATATTGGTCTACAGAACACTTAAAGTGCTGAGTCGGTGTCTTGGGATTCAGGTTGGTACCCAGGTGACCCTATCTTTAGGGGACACATGTCCCCATGTCTACCACACCATCTGTCAAGTGACCTTTTCATAATCCGTCTTGATTCTAACTTACTGTGATTAACTTTTACAGAACTCTAGCCTACAAAGCTGCAAAATCATAACTACAAGCAAGTCCAGAACTGTTCTTTGAGCACCTTAGAGGGCATCAAAAAGGGTAACTGCTGGGTACCACTTCTAACTATTACTAACTTTAATAGTCCTAGTCCAGGACTATTCGAGTGGGCATTAAATGTACAGTGTGGGTATGACCGTTGGAGTTCTTTATGGTGCTGCTTTCTGGGGATCTGCCAAAGATTGATCAGTAAATGATAGGAAGGAAAATGGACAGGAACCTCAGGAGACACTGCTTACAGAAGGCAAAAAAATAAATAAAAATGCACCTAAGTTAAGGATAATTGCAGCATTGTCAGGGAAAGCCGGAGAAGAATATTTCTACCACATGATCAACATGTACCTTAAATTGTTCAGAGATTTATCTCTCTTGGTGATTTAGTTCCCCAGGAAAGCTAACGAAAATGTTTGCCTCCTTTGGAGTGTGATATCATTCCCAGAAAAGTGGGCACATTTCGTATCCTGGCTCTTTTGCTATTGATTTTGATAGGAATCACACACTGCAGCCAACAATGTAGTTAACAAGAACACCTGTTAGCTGTAACAGTAAGTAAACCTTTAAACTTCCATTGATAAATCCATGAATTGCAATTGTATTATGATTTGTTATCTTGTTAAAAGCACACGTTTATGGTTTCCTCTGCAGAATGATTACTAGCACTTCACATATCCCAAAGCAGTTTTACAACTGTTCTTTACAGCTTGAACCATTCTGATTCTTTCTCCCTTTATAAGTTTGCTACACCCTGGTGCTAGGCACCACAAATGAGAAAGGTAGTCCAAACATAGATCAAACTCCATCTTCCGCCATTCCATTCCTGTAGGTGGTTAAAAAAACCAACCATTTAATTTCCCTTCCAGTTCCCTACTCAAGTCAGTTGTCCATGGGATCTGACCTCTTCAGACATGACAGAAGACCTTTAAAGATTCCACCTTAGTTTGGCTGATCAGCCTCTGCACAACCCTTCTCCCCCTCAGTTTATCTAGTTTCTTCCTGCCTCCCATCTTGCTGTGCTGCCAATTACCCATGTTGACCTCTGACTTTCTGTTCTTTAGACTGTTCTCCAACTACTCAGGAAGGACATAGGCCAGGTTTCAAGAACCAGAGTGGTTTTGTATTAGTTATACAAGTAGGGCAGAGAGCTTTGACCACTCTGTCCCAGGAAGCCATTTCAGAATAGCTGCAGCAGATTCTACTTCCCAGCCACCGTTAGCAGGCAGATGGCTCTCTTGGAAAACAAAGCCATAAACAGCCAGACAGTTTTGCATCCACTTTACTAAATGTACTACATCTGCTGTTGTACCTTTTGCATTTGGGAAGAGCTGTTGAAGAAAATAAGTTCATACACTACAGATATATCCTAGCAGATAGGCTTTAGTTTCTCTGCTTTGCACTCTACATACGGCCCCAAAAAAGCTCAGTAGATTCATTGGGGTAGTTCAGTCATTTTAGACTGGATTGGTGCAGTTAGGCAAATTTAAATGGTCTTACAGGGAGATCCTCTTCAGATGGTAATCTTACTTCAAAATGTGGTAATCCAGTCCTAGGTTGTTTTTCTTGCGGGGGGGGGGGCTTTACTCATTGTGCTGGGTAGGGCCACGGCTGCCTGCCTCATAATTCTACCTTGGGTACATGTGTGGTGCTGTGGTCTAAACCACTGAGCCTCAGCCTTGCCAATTGGAAGGTTGGCAGTTCGAATCCACACGATGGAGTGAGCTCCCGTTGCTCTGTCCCAGCTCCTGCCAACCTAGCAGTTCGAAAGCACACCAGTGCAAGTAAATAAACAGGTACCACTGTGGCGGGAAGGTAAACGGTGTTTCCGTGCACTCTGGTTTCCGTCATGGTGTTCCATTGCACCAGAAGCGGTTTAGTCATGCTGGCCACATGACCTGGAAAGCTGTCTGTGGACAAATGCTGGCTCCTTCGTCCTGAAAGTGAGATGAACGCCACACCCCATGGTTGCCTTTGATTGGACTTAACCATCCAGGGGTCCTTTACCTGTTACCTTTAGTTCTACCTTGATAGCACCAGTGACAGGATTCATTGTGTGGGTTGGGAGTGAGGTGCAGAGTCACATAAATTCACCATAAGATTGCTGCTGAAGAGTAGAAATCAGAATAATTCAGGTATGTGCTGCTTCCTTTGTGTGGAGTGCCTATTCCTTGAGATACATGGAGCAACAGCATTTGAGTCAGTGTATCTGATTACAGCCAGCAATTATTCATTGGTGGTAGTTTTCTGGCTAGTTGAATACTTCTCCCGTCACTCTGAGAAAGAAGTGGCTATAACCAGGGCTGTTTGGGGTGAGTTGGTGAACAAGAGGCTAACCTCTCCCTTCATCCCCCTTTTTCACAGTTCCTTCCACTTCTTTCTGCTCTACAAAGCACCTGAGGAGCAGTGCAGGATTACACCCTGTGGAGGCCCCTAAAGGTAAAGGTAAAGGGACCCCTGACCATTAGGTCCAGTCGTGGCCAACTCTGGGGTTGCGGCGCTCATCTCACTTTATTGGCCGAGGGAGCCGGCGTACAGCTTCCGAGTCATGTGGCCAGCATGACTAAGCCGCTTCTGGCGAACCAGAGCAGTGCACGGAAACGCCATTTACCTTCCCGCCAGAGCGGTACCTATTTATCTACTTGCACTTTGACGTGCTTTCAAACTGTTAGGTTGGCAGGAGCAGGGACCAAGCAACGGGAGCTCACCCCATCGCGGGGATTCGAACCACCGACCTTCTGATCGGCAAGTCCTAGGCTCTGTGGTTTAACCCACAGCACCACCTGCATCCCTTGTGGAGGCCCCTATGCAGTCTGATTTAAAACTTGGGGGGGGTTGTCTTGCAAATTATCTCCTAATACATTTTTTATTTTATCAATTTTAATGAACCAATTTTGATGTTAATTTTCTTTCAAGTTATGACTGCCACTTTTAAAGGGCCATCCAAGAAGAAGGTGACCAGGATGATGAAGGATCTGGAAATCAAGTTGAAAGTGCTGGGCGGGGGGGGGGGTGTAAGCTGGAGAAGCAAAGATCAAGGGAAGGCACAACATCAGTCTTCAAATATATGAAGGGTTTTCATGCAGATTTATTCTCCATTGCTTCATAGGTCTGGACTAAAACCAGTGGGTGGAAATTGCTGGGAACTGTAGGTTTCAGCAAAATATTTGGAAAAAGTGCATAATGATAAGAGCTAGGGGTGGAAGAATATGTCAGTTTTTGTTCTCTGAGTTTCTCATTTTCCCAATCTTAAATTCAGTTCTAGAGCTTCCATCAGCAATTTGCTTTAAACAAAAGTAATTCTCATGAAAATTCATCATCATTTTAAGTGTAGATTCCTTGTAATAAGTACATTTTTTGCAAGGAATTTCCCCTAATATAACACATTTAAGTATCCTATTTTCATTTACCGGTACATATTAATTTTTATGCACACTTTCCCTTTTTTGTAAACATTGGTTGGAGAAGTGCTTCACAAAATTCAGATAAGCGTGAATTTCAGAGGCTAGCTGTGTCCTCGTATTGTTTCAGAAAGTGTGATTTTGATAGAGTTGGATTTTTAACTGTGAACTGAATCAAATTTCTCCCCCCATCCTTTGTGAGAACTGTTCTACAGCAGAAATGACTGCCTTGGGCTGGTCTACTCTCCTTCACTGGGAGTGTTAGGCAACACTTAAGATTGAGTATTGCAGCCACACTTAGCAGTATATGAACTAAACCTGCTCCAGAGCCACATTTCTTTCTGTGCAACCTTCTGGGGTCCACAAGCCAATTGTAGGAATGTTCAGAGGCAAAAGCAAGCAACAACTTAGATTTAACCTTTGTAGTTTCTACACATACACCCTAAACTCTGTGCCTCTTGCTTGCCTGGATAGAAGATGATCAGAGTTCAAGGAGACATTCCCACCATGTAATAGCACTGAAGAAGGCTGTGAAATAGGGCTAGGGATGTATGAAACTTGGGGAGGGATGTGTCCTGGGAAAAGTCCTGACTGAGGGCCAGCTCAAAAGATGTTGAGGGCATACCACATTAGACCTCCATACCTGAGGTTCCCCAATCCTGGACTAGATGATAGCTTTGTAATGCCCACCCCCCCGGACTTAGGCAAGGGTCTGTTCTTGAGACCGTGTTTTCCTCCCATATAATTTAGTTTTCCCTATGATAAATATGTTTCAGAAATGTTACTTGTCCATTGTATATACTGCATTCTGTAGCACTGGTTGTGGAATTACTATTACAGCATATTCTTTCCACTCACCTCCTCCCATTTTTATCTCAGTGACGTTATGACAATTTTACCATAAATACAGATTTGTTGACATTTCCAGGAAAAGCTCAGAAAATCTTTACAAATAGCTCAATGCGGGCATTGGGCAACAATATTTCTCTGAGATCCAAGGTAGCAGACTTCCTGGTGATACACATCCTTTGTAATTTGTTGAGCAGAATGAAGATTTTACTCCAAGAGAGGTTTTTTCATCATGCAATGGCTTTCAGTTAGATCACAATATGTATCCTGGGACAGCAACTGTTTCCAAATGAGCAAAATGCCCTTTTTATTTTGGAAAATTACTTAAAAGCAAGAAATCTATGCCAGACGTACACAATACAGTAGAAGAATGAGGTAAGTAGAGGTTCCTTTGGTGGTAGAGGTCACTGTGGTTCTCTGGGTTTCCAGTGTGGAAGGATATCCTTTGAATGCTAAGTACTGATGTATATGCTAAATTCCACTTAGATTTACCTTTTAAAAGGAGAGGGAAGCATCCAGGGCAGATTGGATCAATACATTCACTCATCTTCTCTACTGGCTCGAAATCGTGACACGTTTCTTCTACAAGCTTAGAGATAATACCATTGAACCTGGTTCAGATCCAAGTGGACAGTGCTGTAAGACACACACACACACACACACACACACACACACACACAAGAACAAGGTTTTCATCACACTTTCAAGTGTAGAAATACTGCTGTAATTTGATTCTGTTTCAAGATATAGTAACTGTCACATTGTGAATACCGCTGAGAATAAATCAAACCTGTCAGTGCTGACATACTGTGTAAAAGGTGTTTTGTGTGTGTGTATTAAAGGGGGGGGGGACTAGACTGTGCTATCTTGGTTCATTGTACTCCATGCGCTACTCAGTACTCAGATTTGCCAAGAGTGCTTTCAAGTTGGCACTGCAAGTAACTTGCTCAACTAGCCAGCTGATTAAAATGTCAGTGGCACATGAACAGTCAAGGATGTCATTGAGTTTGCCAGTCCTGTCTGGCTCACAACTAGAGGCAAGAAAGCTCAGGCTTTAATACCCTTGG